TCAGCATATCATCTACAAACGTTAAGAATGTCTTCCAGGACCATGGTCTTAAGCCAGTGTGTTGGACTGTAATGACTTTCTGCTTCTGCCACAAAATCACAGTGTCACTGCAGATATCTGAACCTGTTTTCATGTGATTCCTTTGTGTGAAAATCACAATCATGTCCTTTGCCAATCTCAGAACATTTTAGCAAAGATAGCTAAGATATTTTCTATAACATTTGTAAGTGGAAAATTTTATAAGCACCTAGTATCATTACTTAGCCTTACTAATATCACTGGTAATTCTGTGACCAAATTATAGTTATTAAATGTGCACAGTCACCATTTTATCATTATCATTAATTATAATTTGAGAGGTTGACAGATTATATAATACTGTTTTATCATGTTACCAGATATTTCTTACATCTTTTGACAACCCAGAGAGAGGCTTTCTTCTCTAAGAGGTAAGAAATTCTAACAGTAGGCCAGGAACAGTGGCTCATGCCTATAATCCCAACACTTTGAAAGGCCAAGGCAGGAGAATTGTTTGAGCCCAGGAGTTGGAGGGCAGCCCAGGCAACATGGCAAAACCCCATCTCTACAAAAAAATCCAAAAATTAACTGGACATCTTGATGCATGCCTGTAGTCCTAGGTACTTGGAAGGCTGAGGTGGGAGGATCACCTAAGCCTGGAAGGCAGAGACTGCAATGAGCTGTGATGATCCCACCACACTCAAGCCTGGTGACAGAGCAGATCCTGTCTTGAAAAAAAGAAAGGGTTGGTGGGGAGGAGAGAAAGAGAGAGAGGAAGGGAAGGAGGAAGTTCCAGCTGTGAGCCAAGGTTGCTGTCTAGGGATAGAAAGCAGTGCCCATCCCCAGTCTCTACTTCTTTGAGTCCTTGAACAAAGACTGTGGCAGTACTTCTGGGCAGACCTCTGTCACAGGCCACTCTGAAGATCGTTTCTCCAAAGGGCCAATTCTATGTCATAATTCCAGTGTAACTTAATCTTATTTTATGGAGCTTTGCTCACAAAGCAAGTGGCCTGAAAACTAGTTCTTTGCATTCAATGAGAGTCTTTGGTTTTCATTCAGAAGCAATTTAAAGACCTTTCACATCTTTATGCTCCTCTCTCTTTGTTGTGGGAAAAAACACACATTCTTTCCCAAGCAAGTGAACATCTCTAATTTAACCTGGAGTCACTTAAGTCTGGACATGGCTTGGATGAGGTTTTATTGTTCTTCCATTTTCTCTTTTTAGGTGAATTGTGACTGCAGTTTAGTCATTCTATCTCTCATAACTGATTGAAAGGCACCATTTTTTTAAGCATTCAGAAGAAATCTACATTAAAGAATCTACATTATGTAATTGATTATCTTTGTTATTTGCTGGGGAAATGTGTGAAAGAAAGTGGAAGGGCAAATATAAGTCTAACAGTACCCACTTTCCCCATAGAGTTTTGTGACCCTAAAACAGGCCAATTAACACACTCTGGGTTACCTCTCCAAATTTCTCATTTATAAAATTGGTTAATTAATGGTTTACATTAATCTGTATTTGACTTAATGTATCTGGAAAGCCACAAGCCTGTGGTTCTTAAGTTCTACTCTTATATGCACTGATGTTCCATGAGTGACCAGTGTGTTCTGCTGCTAATAACTTCTCCCAGTTCACAGGGAATTTAAGTTAATGAATGGAATGCTTAAGGCCTTTCTCCCATAAAACATTTCTAGATCTTTGGCTTTGTTATACCTATCATAATCTAGTAAAAAATGTCTTTTGGGTGGGCTAGAATTTTCTCTTCCATCATTTTAATTGCTTCTAGTATTTTAAGTAGTTTCCAGGTTCTCTGCCACCCAAAAAACTTTGAAAATCACTTGTCATTGCTGTACAAAGTGCATTTCACAGATTCTCTGAAGATGTTTTTATATCTCATCTCCCTTGGAAGTTTTTAGTTGTCTCAGAGAAAGGCAGATTTCATACAGAGCGATGCCAGGGTCATTTCTGGTAACATACTACTCAACATTTCACCTCTGTCTTTTATTTTTTCCCTATTTGTCTTTATATGTTCATTCCTTCTCTGTTTTATATTCTCTATCATTAATTGAATATCTACTATGTGCCAACCATATGCTAATCCTTGCATCAGCTGTGCAGATGAAGATACAAAGACTCAATTATGCTAAGTAACTCACCTTAGGTCCCATAAGTAATAAATACCAGAGTCAAGAGGCTTCCCCTCAAAGACCATAAATTCCCATCTTGCAGTATTGTTTCTCTCTTTCTCCTCTATCACGTGCTCTCCTTTTCCTTTCCCTTTTTTTCTCTAATTAATTGTAGTAAAACACACATAACAAAATTTACCATATTATCCATTTTTAGGTGTGCAGTTTAGTGACATTAAGTACATCCATAGTGTACAACCATCACTACAATCTATCCTCAGAACTCTTTTTAACTTGCAAAACTGAAACCATACTCATTAAATGATAATTCCCTTTCCCCTCCTCCCACCAGCCACTGGCAACTACTCTTCTGTTTTCTATGAATTTGACTACTACTCTAGGACCTCAGATGTGTAGAATCAAATAGAAATGGTCTTTTTGAGTCTGGCTTATTTTACTTGGCATAATGTCCTCAGAGTTCATACATGTTGTAGCATGCATAAAAATTTCCTTCCTTTTTAAGGCTGAATTAATATTCCATTGTATGTGTACACATTTGGTTTGTTCATTCATCGTTAGACACGTGGGCGGCTCACACCTTCCGGCTGTTGTGAATAATGCTGCTGCTGTGAACCTAGGTGCACTGTCTTTCCTTTTGAGTACACTTCCTCCCTCATCTTCTGCATAAATTTTAGGTTTGTCTGTGGTACTCATTGACATTGCTTAATCCCAGTGACAACACTAAGACCTGGAAAATGACCACCTAACTGTGGAAGCTGTGGACTGTTTCACTGATTTTTCTTGTCAGTGTATTTACCCCCCTTAGTTCTACCTTTCTTCTCAATTTGGGTTTTGCATGGTAATGAATGCATGCCTGTCATTTGCTCCCGAATCCACAGATTTCTGCCTTTTGCTACCCTTGGATGGAACTCCAATGGAACTCTTTAAACCTCTAGAGGAGTTGTAAAAGAGCCAATCAACATGTGTGTGTGGAAGGCAAGACATGAGGCAAGGGGTATTAGTCTGTTTTCATGCTGCTGATAAAGACATCCCTGAGACTGGGAAGAAAAAGAGGTTTAATTACACTTATAGTTCCACATGGCTGGGGAGGACTCAGAATCACGGCAGGAGGCTAAAAGCACTTCTTACATGGTGGCAGCACGAGAAAATAAGGAGGATGCAAAAGCGGAAATTCCTGATGAAACCATCAGAACTCATGATACCTATTCACTATGATGAGAACAGAATGAGGGAAGCCACCCCGCCCCGCCATGATTCAAATGATCTCCCATAGGGTCCCTCCCACAACATGTGGGAATTATGGGAGTACAATTCAAGATGAAATTTCGGTGGGGATGCATCCAAACCATATCATGAAGTGTGTGAGATAGCACAGTGGGTGGAGGCAGGAGGGTGGGCAGTAGAAGTAGAGGTTTAGTTCCCAACTTCAGTGAACTTTTAACTCGCAAATACTCATTACTTTATCTGTTAGTTTATGTAGCTTGGAAATTTTATTGTCAGATTTATTCAGTATGTCAGTTATTTTCCACTGAAATGATTTTTGCCCCTGCCCCTACCCTGGACATTTGACAGTGACTAGAGATGTTTTGGTTGTCACGACTATGGCAAAACCCGCAATTACTTTTGCACCAACCTAATAGTATAAAAGGGATGCTACTGCCTTACAGTGGCTGGAGGTCAGAGATGTTGCTAAATATCTTCTAGTGCATGGAACAGCCCCTACAACAAAGAGTGATCCGGCCTAGATGTCGGTAGTACCAAGGTTGTGATGCCCTGCAATATATGTAGTATTGCTCAGTTTATATTGGTTAGTCACCTCATATGGAACATAAAAAGTCACCATTAGTTTTCTCAATGACAACAACTTTATGATAATACAGTAACTTGAAATCAAGCTAGCATTTCCCATGCTATAATTGTCATTATTTGCTAATCCAGGATATAAAATTTTCAGTGCTTTAAGGGGAATGTTAGTACAGAAAATTTTCTAGCAAAAAAAATTTATTTCAAAAACATAACTTGGTATTTAATATATTGGCAATTAATATCTATTAAAAAAAAACCATCGTTGTAGCTCATAAACTCTCTTTGGATTTGAAAAGTATTGTGTGACTGCGTCCTGTATGTTTCTCTCTTAATAGACTAACACTATATTTAGATTTTAGTCCTTATACAGATATCTTATGATGTAACGTTGGAAGCTCTATAGGGTATTTTGCCACATTTATTTAAAATATTCCATGGATAACCCACTTGCATAGAAGATGATACTAAAAATATAAACAAAATTCATTCCCAATCTGCCCATTTTCTTTAGCCGGAATACTAGCTAGGAAACTCCTAATTTAGTTTTCTGCTTTATGGATATTGTGTTTCGATAGATTCCTTTCTTCCATAAAATGAAATTTGAACAAGTGGAGTGAGCTGAAAACACAGTTGATTGGAGATGTGCAGACCCTGTCAGGTGTCCTGAGAGGCATAGAGATGCCCGAGGCCAGTTACTGCCCATATGTCTAAACCAGAATCATTGCAAGACATGTCATAATATGCAACATAATTACAGGGCATGTAATAAAACCAGTATGTCGTCTTCACCAATCCCCTGTCGTTTGTACATCTCCAGTGCTGAGCAATGAAAACTGATGTTCATAACAAGATTTCTGAAACTCTTTCCTAATCATCAAGGGAAGAATAAATTTGGGCTTGATGTTCTATTTGGTTATGTCTCAAAGGTTGTTACCAAAGGTACTTCTCACACATGTACAGGAGTTGATCCTCAGACACCTAACCACACAAAGCTTTATTCAGGAATCCTTGTCTTTCTGTTGCAGGACCTGGGAGGAAGGCAAGGTACTCATCTTTGATGACTCTTTTGAGCATGAGGTATGGCAGGACGCCTCATCTTTCCGGCTGATATTCATTGTGGATGTGTGGCACCCGGAACTGACACCACAGCAGAGACGCAGCCTTCCCGCAATTTAGCAGGAATTCATGCAAGTTTGGGATGCTCTGGAGAGAGGCTGCCTTTCTGGTTCCATCTCCTTGGGTGTAAGGATAGAATTTTGAACACTAAGACTCTTAATTCCCTTGATTTGCAGCCTGAATAATTCTAAGCCTCCTCCTAGGGTTAGAAGACACTAAAGGGAATATTTACCTCGCTGCAATTCATTTAGAAAACACCCTGCTGGGTGTCATCCATTGACAGCGCTGGTCTTCTGCCGGTATTTAAGGTGAGCATTTGATAGCTTCTACCTTACCAGCCAAAGGTATTTTTCCCACATAGAATAGGTCTAAATCAGTGTATAATGAGAATATATGTAGAAACTGTGAATGGATTGCTTTAGTTTGTAATTTTTCTATGCAGTTATATTTTTATAGTGTAGCTAGGCCATTTTGTCATCATGTACCACTACATTTTTGTTGATTTTAATGACAAGCTGTATAAATGCTTTACTTCTAGATGATGTTTAATGGTAGCATTACTGGGGAACTCAGACTTCCCTCTTTCAATTCTTCTTAGTAAAAGACACTCATGAAAAAAGCAGTTTTATTTTCCTAATACAAAAAAGAAAGATGTCATGGTGCCAGTGTCTATGAACTGTACCCATCCTAACTCTCAAGTCATTTGTTTTTTTTAAATCTTCATTCAGATCCTCCTCTCACTGCACTGGTGATGGAAATATTGTCAAAATCATATTTCTTTCAAAGAGGAACTTTTCACACTGAAAAAAGACCATGGGATTATTTTATATTGTTATAAAAATCCCACATGCTAATTTTTTAAATGCCAAATATTAGAGGTTCTGGGGAAAAGAACAGTTTATGAAAATAAAAATATGTTATTTCAGGGTCAAGTGCATAGGTGACTGATAGGGAGTCTGGCTCCTGGCTGCTTTGCCATCCATGAGGCATGTCCTTGGGATTCAGTTTCTTTGCCTATGGTAGATCCATGTGAATGACAGGAAGCCAGCTCTTCTTGGAGATGATTTCCGCCACAATTCTGTAGCAATATTAAGGATGGCAGAGTAAAAGGTCACCAAGAATGCCAGGATCTTTGTCCTGGGTGTAGAAGGTCCAGATTGCCTTCCTTTTTGTTGAAAAAGTCTTAAAGACTGTCCCATCTCCCTGGCTTGAGAAACTTCTGCCGTTTTAAACATCACCGTGAAATAACAATTGTTATCATCTATATTTAGTTTCAACATTACTCACAACATAGACATAACAGTTGAAAATGGTCTTGCCTATTCATTCCAAAGATGATCAAGTCATTAATTTGGTAAACTATTAATGCATCAGACTTTGTATTTTTTAAATCAAAGCTAACTAGAAATGTTAGATATAAGAATGTAATGATATTCATGTGCTGAATTCTAAGCCAATATGAACAAGAATGCTGCAGGAATGGCACATAAATCAACAAATTTCAATCATAGGTAGAAAACACTTGTACTTTCTTTTCCATCTAAAAACAAAAGTAGACTATCTTATTTAAAGAACAGTTCTTTGAAATTGAAATTGACCCTTTTTGGTTGACCTTAAGAATGTTAGCTTCCAGTGGATGAATTTGCAAAATACTTTTCCTGTTCTTCTTCCGTTTTGCTGGTATTGATAAACCCCACTGAATCAGATGAAGAGGCATGGGAGGGAAAATATCCAAATTACTAAAATTGAGAAGAGAAGGCAAACTCTTGAAAAGTAAATGGTATTTGTGTCCTTCAGTATTTATTGAACAGAGGAAATAATTGGCAAGGGCAATACAATTCAGTGCTCATGTAGTAACATTCGTCTCACTTATTGAATTTGGTTCTCATATGTATATTGCGTACACATAAAGAAATTCAAACTATAAGTCATCATCATTGAGCCATCATCTTACATTCATGTAATGAAATTATGGAAGAAAGTAAAAACTAGCTCTTAACTTAGTAAATATAATATGGTATTTAAAATCAGGTCACTACAGTAGGCTTCTAAATATTGCCAATTGAAAACTAAAAATGGTATTACTGTTGCAAAGTGTTGTCAGTAATTGGCTCCAATAGCATTGTAAATACTTGGATCCCACAACTATTTTAAACCCAAGCAATAAAGTGGATTTTCTAATTCACATAAATTCTTTATTTCTCTTACCTATGTCTTGGTAACATAAGAAAAGTGTTTCCATCACTGCATTGGTAGAATTAGTTCAATGTTAATATTTTTTGTGATTTAAAATGTCTACAAAATGAGTTCGTTTAATTTATATTGTGGTGCAGTTGTTTGAGAAATATTTTTAATTCTGTTTCAACTTTATTTCTCCTAGGTTGTAATATAAAAATTACTTTCGTTATTATTCTTTACCAGTAGGGAAAAAAATAAAACATTAGATCCATTGAGATTTATTATATATCCAAGATTTATTACATATCTTTCAATATTACATTGAAAGATATGTAATAAATAATGTTAGTAATAATATCTAGCAGGGGTGATTATGACCAGTTGAATCATCTCTTTCCTTTGAATTATTTAGCTAACAAATTAACTCTCCCAAATATTTAAAATGTAAAATCATATTTTACTGCCCATGATTAACTAAAATATTTTTGTTTGTTTGACATTGAGCACCAACTGGTCATACTAATAAATACCCATGTCATGCAGATAGCTGGGCAAATAAGAGACATCTAAAAATATGCACTGGTCTTGGAAAACATGGCACAAGTAAGGATATCATATCGTATGGTGTCTGTTTATTTTATATCTGATTTCCTTTGAATGGGTAGTTGGGGACTCCATTTCTAAGGAGAATAGATAAATAAAATGACCTTTGGCATTTCACCCTGCATCTCTAGTCTTCTCTAATTTCAGTACCTGCATATTTAGCCATCTGTATGGCCCTTGCTCCATGATTGAATATTTACCCTCTCACCAACAACCATGTTCTTTCTCCACATCTTTAATAGTTGCAGGAGGGTTGGGGGGCAAGGGGTAAATGGTTTGATAGCACTTTTCTTTGCTGTAGTGACCCAATTGAGGCAACTTGAATGGATTCATTAATCACTGACATGTGTTTTCAGTGAGATGTCTCCTCTGCACACACACTGCACTAATGGGCTCTTGAGCTGCCTGTGGGAACTCGCATTGCTGAGATGAAATAATCATATTTCACGTTCATGTGTCTTCCTTTAAAATCAGCTCATGATAGCTAGTGGCCTGACAAGAGATAGATATAACATCAAAATAATTTTTTGCAGGATATCAAAATAAGCAAACTTTGCAAATACTCAGACCTATGAGAACATGCTCTTAGGCTGAACAATTCGATGCTGGTGATTAGTTCAAAGGAAATAATTTAGTAAGAATGGAAATTACTGGAGATACTATTGTCTCAGGGTTTTGTACTACATTAAACTTGACAATGGTGTCTGCACAGTTTAACTCTGATACATTTACTTGGAAATGCACTTAAGTTTCAAAAACTGGAGAGGGTCCCTGGGTGATACCTCAGAAAAATTCTTGTCCTAATGCAGTGTGTGCATCAAATTTATTTTTAATTTTTTCAATTTATTTGCTACCATAAATATGAAAGGAGGGAGAATCTTTTTTACATAAATGCCTTGCACCATCCTCCAATCCCTTTGCTGGAGAAAAAAAAAAAAAAAAAAAGCATCTCTCAAGTCTTTGTCTAACTTTGGCCGCTCAGACCGATGGCTGGTGACAGTCACTGCAGGGGGTCAGGAGTGGAGTACCTTATGTCAAGCAAAACACACGTGTCCGTGTGGGTCAGTTGCGCATATGCTTCCTGGGTGGCTGATACCACTGAAGGCCAATGTGCGGGAGCATTGGGGTGACTCAGGGTTCAGTCCAGAGCCAGGAGTGGCTGAGTGTTCTCATTCTCTCCCTTCTCCTCATGTTTCAGCGTCCCAGCTTCTACCACAGACTGAGATCTAACCAGAGGGAAGGGAAAAAGAAACAATTACAAACAATTCATGGTGACAATTTTGGAACCTTTGAAGACATTCAGATTTTATGTTTCTCTTTTTAATAAAGACACTCAAAAATTAACTAGGTTCAGTGACACATGCCAGTAGTCCCAGCTACTCAGGAAGCTGAGGTGGGAGGATTGCTTGAGCCCAGAAGTTCAGGCTGCAGTGAGCCATATTGTGCCACTGCACTCCAGCCTGGGTGACAGACGTAGATCCTGTCTCCAAAATAAAAATAAGAAATAAAGACACTCAAAATAACTACACAATGTACTTCCTTTCATATTTCTGTTTTTCTTACTTTTGCTTGCCATACCATATTTTTATGGAGAGAAGCATTTTGGAGTATTGGAATATTCTTTGCAGTGATCTCTTCTCTTGGTAAAAGGGACATATGTATTCTAGCCACACTCTGCCCCAGCATCTAAATATCCTATGTACCTTGAAATATATAAAGTTTGTTGAATTTTTAATGTTTTAGTGTACTTTTTAAACCCTTTGTCTCTCAGAGTCATTGGAAACTACCATGCATGATGTTAAGACCGTGAATCAGATGATAAAGTTAGATTCTGTCCCTTACAGGCTGGGAAGCTTGAAGGAGTTCTTGAAACTCTTTGGACCTTGATTCTCTCACCTGTTTACTAGAAGTATTACCTAATTCCCACAGTTGTTAATAAGGACCACAACTAATAATATGCGTAGAGCATTTGGCATGGAATTATAGTTAAAACTTATGGAGCACTCTTATGACCAACCACTATTGCAATACTAGTAATGATCTGTAGTTTTTGATGTGTCCTTTTATATTAGAATAAGAATGATTTTTTTCTAAGTTGATATAAATTCAACCAAATTATTTTCCAGCTTACAGAGAAAATGTTATAAAAAAAAGCTATTATGCAGTAGATATTTAATCAATGTTCACAACTAAAAACAAATTATTCCTTATAAAAATGGTTACATTTTTACTTATTCAAATAAGTAAAACTTACGCAAATGTGCTAAATTGTTAACTTAGTAGACCTGGGGTGCCCAAACCCTACACATTACAAGTTTTCAAGACTGGCCTTTGACTGGCTCCTCTGTGCCCTTAGAATGGCCTGCCTGATAAGAAGATCTTTGTATATCTGAGACCTTGGTTCATGCCAAGTAGTTTATGCTAACAGTGTGATTTATAGTATATGCTTGCTTTTGTGTGTCTGAGCTTTAGGTCACACTGTTTCAGTTTGACCCTTTTAAGGCAGTAAGAGTGTCAGAGGTATTTGAACCAGAGCAACTCCATCTTAAATAGGAGCTGAGTAAAATAAGGCTGAGAGCTGCTGGGATTCATTCCCAGGAGGTTAAGGCATTCTTAGTCACAGAATGAGATAGGAGGTCAGCAAAAGATACAGATCGTAAAGGTCTTACTGATAAAACAGGTTGTAGCAAGGAAGCCAGCCATAACCCACCAAAACCAAGATGGCCATAAGAGTGACTTCCAGTCGTCCTCACTGCTACACTCTCACCAGCACCATGACAGTTTACAGATGCCATAGCAACGTCAGAAAATTAACCTATATGGTCTAAAAAGGGGAGGCATGAATAATCCACCCCTTGTTTAGCATATAATCAAGAAATAATAATAAGAATGAGCAACCAGCAGCCCTGTCTATGGAGTAGCCATTCTCTTATTCTTTTACTTTATTAATAAACTTGCATTCACTTTATGGACTCACCCTGGATTCTTTCTTGCTGAGATCCAAGAACGATCTCTTGGGGTCTGGATCGTGACCACTTTCCGGTAACACCTTTCTGGTGAACCATGAAGGGATGATACGGTGGAAACCCCCGACCCAAAGGCTAACTTTGGGTAAGTGGTGAGGTCCGGTAACAAGAGAAGATAGGGAAAGGCTGAGGACTGAGCAGTTAAGGTCAGTCACAAAGGTACTGCACCGCCCCCCGCCATAAAAACCTGGACACCAGCACACAGATGAACCTTCATAGTGGACAACACCTTATAGATGTTGTCACACATTAATGCTAAGAGAATTAAGACAACTAGGATCTTACAGTTAGTCTTTCCTAGACTCCTCCCTATGTACTGTTTTCCATTCCTAATTACAATCTATATCCTTTTCTGGAGTAAACCATAACTGTCAGTCTAACAACTTTTCTGTGTCCTGTGGGTCTTTCTAGGAAATTATGGAGACATTATCAAAGTTATCAAATACAGATAAGGGTGGTCTTGAGGACCCCCTCAACACAACATACAACAACAGTATGTGTGTGCATGCCATTGTTCTAATAAGTTCTCGCCATGTATTAGCTTATTTTCACAACCCATAGTTGTGTATTAACATGTATTTACATTGACATATATTAACATTCCATTTTTACAACCCGTAGATTTTATAGATGGAAGAAACTAAGGGACTGAGAAGTCAAATGATGTAGAAAAGACAACACAAATAGGAAGTGGAGAAGTTGACAAGTTTATCACCACCACACAGCTCCTGGGTATACCTAAGGCCACAGGGGGGTGTTTAGCTAAAACATCAAGTGTTCCTTCCACCTCACCATAAAAATCATTGCTGTTGTTTTGCCTAAGATTTCTGTCTCCTTTCAAGATATGTATGTACTATAGAAAGCATAAAATTAAGAAATCAAGAAGAAATTAGTAGAAGTGTCTCAGAACAATTTATCTCTAATGTAACTATCAATCCGTTCAAACAGTCCAACCTTATATACCAAACTGAACCTTTGAAAGTGAAATGGACTCATTTACTGCTGGGATGGGGCAGAGGAAGGAAACCCTAGGCAGTAGTTTAGCCCCAGCTCCCTAACACATTTCCAATGCGTTTTTCTCTCGTTTTAGTTTAAGGCTCAGTGCATGTGGGGAAGGGAGAAGTGTAGATTTGTATCTGGAACAGAAAAGCAGAAAATCCAGAGGCATTAAAACAAACAGCAAACATGAAGACAACCGGGGGAGCACAACCACCTACACATGCCAACCTCCCTCCAGCACCTTGGACAGCTGCCTGTCTGCTTTGACCTACGGACCCTGTGGAAATGGAGAATATTGATGGCCGTCTACTTTTACAGACCTTAAACTCATTTCCTGTCATACGACTTCACTTTATTTCACAACATGGCATGTGAACCA